AGCTGGATAAGACGGAGCAGCGCACGCCTGGATTCAAGTTCAACTTCTGGGAAATGAAGGTGGGCTGGAAGTGGGCCGTTGGGTTAGAGTGAGATGCTGGACTGAAGTGAAATTATACGACAAGTTCAACTTCTGGGAGATGAAGGTACGGTCAAGCGTGTGTGTGGAGGCAGCAGGTTGGGCGGAGGGGATGGGGGAGAGATGGGGGGGAGGAGGGGCGGGGGTGAGAGTGAAGCTGGATAAGACGGAGCAGCGTACACCCGGGTTCAAGTTCAACCTCTGGGAAATGAAGGTGGGCTGTTGTCACTCGGGGTGTTCCTGTGCACTTCTGTTTTCTAGACTAGTCAAAACTCCCACCCGTTTTTTCTCCTGATCGTCATCGCTCCTAAGGGCGTTTTTTTGGGCGTCAAGATTTGCCCTTGTGATGTTCCATCTGCGACCCTCCCTCCTTACCCAACCCCCCCCCCCCCAACCCCTCCCTCTCCCTTCACCCCTCCCCCTCGCCGCACCCTTCCGCCTCCCCCACCCCCCCAAACAACAACCTACCCCCTCCTCCTCCCCCCTCCCCCTCCCCCCTCTTCCCTTTTTGGGATCTCGCCCTATCTCAGGGCGTTCCTGTACGCATCGAGATTGGCCCGCGTGATGTCGCAGCCAATACTGTCGTGACAGCGAGGCGCGACCGCCCGGGGAAGCAGGGGAAGCAGTTCGGGGTGTCAATGGGCGGCGACGGGCGGGAGCTGGTGTCTCATGTGCAGGCGCTGCTGCAGGAGGTGCAGGCCGGCATGCTGGCAGATGCAGTGGCGTTCAGAGACAGCCACATTGTGGAGGTGGCGAGTTATGAGGAATTGAAAGAAGCTATTGCCAGCAGCAAGTGGGCCCGTGGGCCCTGGGCCGGCAGGTGAGAGCGGTGGGGTTGGGGTGCAGAGAGGTTGGATGGGGTGGGGTGCGGTGCTGGCAGATGTTGTGCAGTTGCTGCTGCAGGAGGTGCAGGACGGCATGCTGGCAGATGCAGTGGCGTTTCGAGATAGCCATAGTGTGGAGGTGGCGAGTTATGACGAGCTGAAGGCAGCCATTGCCAGGGGCGCGTGGGCCCTGGCCCGGCAGGTGAGAACGGTGGGGCGAGGTGGGGTGGTGTGGGTTGCAGTGGCGTTCAGAGATAGCCATATTGTGGAGGTGGGGAGTTTTGACGAGCTGAAGGCAGCCATTGCCAGCAGCAAGTGGGTGCGTGGGCCCTGGGCCGGCAGGTGAGAGGGTCGGGGATGGGTGGGGATGGGTGGCGTGCGGTGCTGGTGGGATGGGGAGCTGTTAGAGATAGCCATATCGTGGAGGTGCCATTGTAGGACGAATTGAAGGAAGCCAATGCCAGCAGCAAGTGGGCACGTGGACCCTGGGCCGGCTGGTGAGAGGGGGGTGCGGTGGGGTGCGGTGGGGTGCGGTGCGGTGGGGTGGGGGGGTGAGGGTGCTACACTGCTACCGTCATGTTTTTGTCTATTCAGACGTTTGTGACCTGTACTGCATGCTCCAGCAATGAGGATGCGAAGCGGCTGAAGGGGGAGACGGGAGCCACCGTGTGCTGCTGATCATTTGAAAAAGAAAGGAGAAACATTTCCTGTTTTTGTACCTGTATTGCATGCTGCAGTAACGAGGATGAGCAGCGGGTGAAGGAGGAGACGGGAGCCACCCTGCGCTGCTTCCCATTCGAGCCAAAGCTGTTCGATGCCACGTGCTTCTTTACAGGGAAACCTGCCACTGAGCGGGCAATTTTCTCTCGTGCCTACTGAACTACCCACCCGTACCGTATTTTCGAATAAAGCTCCACACATTGCAGTCAAAGCAAGGTTGAGAGTCTAGTCACGGTAGAGTATGGGAGGAAAGTGTTAGGGCTGTTGTATTTCAAAACTGGGTGTGGGTGAAAGCTGAATCTTGGGAAATGTGCCAGTGAAACAAAGAATCTATGTACTACTGCAGCAGCACCTGAAGGTGTAAATGTCAGCACAAATGGATGTACGATGCAACCCAACTTAAGCATAATAATAAAAAAGCATGGCATCCTGAAATTATACTCTGTAGTTGCGTCATTCGTTTGCGAAACCCCGAAAGGACGATAGCAGCAAAGGCATCACAGATGGACTGGAGGATCATGCGTAGGATGCTTCGAGGTTGTGGGCCCTACTCTTATTACGGGAGTCAAACTGGCACGTGACAAATCTGGTCAACTACCGGTATCTCAGCCATATCCGATACCATTCGGCTGGCACATGACGTCACTCGGCGTGACAGCATTCTGGACTAGATCGGGCAGGTTAATAAATTTGTAAGCCAGTGTTTGGCAGTTCGACTGTACCTACCCTTTGTACAATTTCTTTACAATTCAAATTCGTAAGCCACTGTATTCCAAACCGATTTTCAGCTTCTGCCTTTCAACCAGCCAGTTGTACTGCATGATTTGATGCATACCTTGGCCAGCTTGTCCATCAGGCAAAGCTGCTTGGCTTTACTGAAACATACAAGGACACCTCTTGCAGCTTTTTGCAACGAGGAAGTCCTTCATCATCATGTGGTCCCACTTGTCCTGATCGATGTAGTCCACAGGTAATATGTCGGTTGTGTCTTCCAAAGCCTCAACTGACGAGACTTCTTCCTAGCATCTTGATTTTTGATTTCTTCTTCTTAGGGGAAGAAGAACGAAACAGACCCGAAATCGAGGAAAGCATTCAAGCAAAAGTGTGGTTTCATTTCCATCACTGCACTGCAAACATTTCCCTGCTGTTCCTTGCTGTTGTGAAACATTGCAGCAGCCCACCTGGCAAATGGAACCTGGTGCCATCTTCTGAAGGGCATGCAGTACCTGAGATATCACCCTGGGCGAGTGCCCGAAAGGTTCCAAGAAAAACAGTTCAAACTACAGTTCTATGCTACAGAAATGGGAATGAACTGAGGGACCGTGCAATGCCTTTTCCAACAGCTGATGTGTTTGATCCTCAATGACACCAACAGAGCAACGAGCTCGTGATGGATTGGGGAGTGTTGAAAGACACTGACTGACCGATTCAACAGAGCGCAATCTGAATTGTTTGAGGTTGCATGTTGTATGCTTGAAGGGGGAGCTGATAGTTGTGAGTTCCAACCGAGTCGACAGAGTTACAGTGGTCGAGAAGCAATTCCCTCGTGCTGCTGCACCTGCTGCTGCCATGTGACGTGGCTCCCAGCGTTGCCAGTTCCACGCGATTGTCCTGGGGCTTGGCCAATGTTGGGGGGACACGGTAGCTGCTGTATATGAAACCGCAAACTGTACTGCACCTAAAAAATCATGCAATTCTTTTTTGTGCACACACCCTTCCGTAGTCTGGAGAATGACCGGAATTCCGTGCCGCGAGCTAATGAGCGAAAATTACGGAGCGCGAATGCCTACAAATCGCAATCGGATTCCCTCACCAGACACGACACGGCCTCAGTCGTTTCTGCTCAACTCTCAGCAAAGCACAAGTGTATCACGGCAGAATGGTCACAATGGATTTGATTGATATGGATACCAATATCCACACACAAAGCTCACAAGGGTCACTTTGAGTAAAAATAGTCCACGATTAGGGGCAGTACAAAAGTAAGTGTGTTCGGGGAATTGAACCTCCACACGCTTAGCAAACGCGCTTAGCCAACTGCATCGCAAACTTGTACTGGAAGAAAGTCATCTTGAGGATGTTCGGGTGCTTTAATACAAATATCATAGAAGTTAGGAGTTTTAAAACTGCTACCAGAACTTGCGAAGGCCATCTCGACAATTAGTGCCCAGCAAAAGTCCATAATCTTGGCTTGACTGAGGGCGAAATACCCGAAATCAAGGGCCCTTGTTCGGCATCTCGACTTCCACCCACCCAAACCTCCAGTCCACGCATTTCACACAAACGCCTCTCGTCCTGCTAGGCAGAGCGTGGTTTGAAGCAACATAATCAGGCCTAGACTTACCTCTTCCAGCTCTCAGCGGATTTGCGTATCCTCATTTCTCACATCGCTCAGTTGTACCCGCGATTCAAGCGGTGTTTGTTGCTGTGGATAATTCCTAGTAGCTGTCGATACGCGTAGTATGAGCAAGCCCAGCTCAGCAAGAGCGACCCGACTAGTCTCGAATCCAAGTCCAAGTCGAGATCCCCGTCGAAACTTAGTGCACGACCATATCGAGACGGAATTGTTGAGAATGCTCCACCACGACGGACGCGGCGGCGGCGGAAGTAGCTCCGGCGACGAGCAACCGCAGCGCCCGTCCGGTGATCTTACCAACGCCGCCGTGCTAGTTTTAAACCGTTCCCAGCAATTTAAAGAGCCTTTCGCCGGAGAGTTTCGCGTGAAGCCGTCGCACTCGTCGCCGCCTGGCGACCGCAAGGGATTAGTAAAAGCAGAGCGCGACAGCGAAGGCGACCGCGACGACGGCGGCGACGTGAAATTCAGTCGACGACATTCGGAGCCGTCGCGTCGCGTTTCATCATCAACATCGTAAGCTTCCCCGCAGCCACGACAATTGTCTACGCGATTGATTTTGGAATCATTAACGAGATGCGTTTTTCGCGACCGCTGTTCAAAATCAACGTCCGCTGTGCATTTTTTACTCCGGTACCAACGGAAAACCCTCCTCACATTGATTACCGTGTGATCCCCTGGTCAGATTGAAATCCCGGAAGAAACGATCATCGCCGGAAATGGCGCCGCCGAACGCGGCGACCCGAGGATGCATCGACATCAACTCAAGCCCAGCAAAGAAGACGAGTCGCGCGAGTCCAACCAAACGACGACGCGTCGACGCGGGCGGTCGCACTTCATCCACAGCCGCCACGGCCCATCATGCTACTAGCAGGGCCGTCGCATTCGCCGCCGCATCAGCCGCTGCAGCCGCCTCCATAGCCGCCCCCGCCGCATCTAAAGGAGCAGGACAGACGTCGTCTCAGCTTTCGGACTTGATCAGGCGACTGCCTTCTCCCACTCGCGAAGGTCGCTGGACTTTTGAAATGAATGCGCAGCTGTTAAGGGAGATGCAGATTCACACCACCAGGCCCGTTACTACTGCCACCACCACCGCTACTGCTGCAGTCCCCACCAATACTGCTGCCACTCCTCCTCCTCCTGCTGCTGCTGCTGCTGCTGCTGCTGCTGCTGGTAGTGCTGCTGGTTTGGATGCAGCAGCGATAGCTGAAGCCATTATGCGGCAACGAGGGATGGCAACAGTGGCTCAGCGCTTTGCACACCCTGAGTCCGCGGCTCTAAGTCCGAGGTTTGGGTCCGAGGCTCACGCTCGGAGGTTTGGTTGGCCCGAGGCTTGGACTGAGAGGTTCGGGAGGCCTGAAGCTCACGCTCACAGGCCCGGGTCCGAGCCTTTGAATCGTAGTCTGTACGAGGCAGCAGCAGCATTGGGAGCAGAAGGAGCAGCAGCAGCACAAGGGAGCAGGAGCAGCCTGAGTGGGCAATGCAAACTATCAGCATCGCATGCTGCAGCAACAGGTGTAACACCAGGAGGTGCAGCATCAGGTGCAGAAGCAGCGGCAGCAGCGGCAGCAGCAACTGCTGCTGCTGCTACTACCACTACCCGCATGAGTACAAGCGGTAGAGCGCTTGGTTCCCTCAAGGTCCGTAGAAGCACCAGCGCTACTGCTCCTGTTGCCACCTCTACCACTACTGCTCCTGCTCCTGCTACTCCCGGTGTTGCTCGTTCTGCTGCTACTCCTCCTACTGTTACCACCACGGCCTCAGCCACAGAACCTCACCCACTCCCCCAATCCCGTCCTAACTCGCTGGCCCGAGCAGCAGCAGCAGCAAGCATAGCCCTCCCCAACTTCTCCCTTCTCTCCTCAATCATGGCTGCCGCAGCCGCATCCACAGCAACAGAAGAACCGCCTTTCCACGGGCTCTCTCGGGCGCACACAGCCCCCCCTCTTCGCAGCAACTTGGCCACACCATCGCCCTTTTCCCCCGGCTCTTCCCCTACCTATGGAGCAGGCCTCTTCCCTGCCTCCTCCAGCGTGCCTGGGGCCAGGCATGGTAATCGCGCCGGTCCCGAGCCTGCAGGTTCGGTGAGTCTTGCAGGATATCCAGCAAGTCGGCCCAGCCCATCTGTTGCCGGGGCGGGAGCAGCTTCGGCCGGAGCAGGCGCAGGTGCTGAAGCCCGATCAGGTTCGGCCGGAGCAGCAGCGGCCGGAGCAGGTTCGGTGGGAGCAGCGGCAGGAGGAGTGGTTTCCATGGGCGGCAACCACAGCGGCAACAACAACAGCAACAATGACGGAATCGGCATGACTGTGGAGAGTCTGCCTGTGCTGCGAGTGTCATCAGACAGCAGTCGCATGGTGGTGCCCCGCAGTGCGTGGGCCCAGGGACTGGTGGTTGACCATATGCTGGGCCGCGGACCCATGGCTGCTGCTCCGTCCATCCATGATGCAGCTGCTGCAACTCCTTCACTCTATGATGCTGCTGCCGCTGCCAACGCTGCCGCTGCCACCGCCGCTGCCACTGCTGCTCCTGCTGCTCCTCCTGCTCCTCCTGCTCCTGCTGCTGCTGCTCCTGCTGCTGCGCCAATATCTCATCCTGCCGCCGCTCCATGCCCCCTCGACACACTGCGACTCTCCACCCACCAAGTCTTCCCACCCGCTCTCCTCGCACACATGCACCTCCTCGCCTTGCAGACAGGCCAACACATGGACCTTCGTGCCTTGCAGACAGACCAACACATGCACCTTCGTGCCTTGCAGACAGGCCAACACATGCATCTTCGCACCTTGCAGGCAGGGCAACACACGCTCCTCCCCCAAGGATTCTCCCCTTTCCTTGACGCTTCTGCTTTGGGTTTGCTTGGGCCAAGCACAGCTGCGCTACAGCCAGTGGGAGCTGGCACTGTAGGCGAAATGGCAGCCGCTACAGCCGGTCCTTTTTCGGCTGCTGTTTGGGCCACCATCAGGCCAAGCACAGTTGCGCTACAGCCGGCAGGAGCTTGCACTGCGGGAGAAATGGCACCCGCTACAGCCGGTCCTTTTTCGGCTGCTGCTTGGGCTGGGCTTGACAGACAAGCAGCTGCGCTACAGCCAGCAGGATCTGGTACAGGTGGAGAAGTGGCTGGCGGGGGAATAGCAGCCGCTGCAGCCTCGCCTTTTTCGGCTGCTGCTTGGGCTGGGCTTGAGAGTCAAGCAGCTGCGCTACAGCCGGCCGGAGCTGGTACAGAGGGAGAAACGGCAGGCAGGGGAGCGGCAGCTGCTACAGCCACTCCTTTCCCTAGTGGGGCTGACACACCCACGCTACAAGGGAGGAGCAGTGAGGTCACAAATTTTGGGCCAGGCGCGCTCACGCTACAAGGGAGGAGCAGTGAGGTCACAATTTTTGGGCCAGGCGCGCTCACTCAACAAGGCAATAGCAGCCAAGGCGTGGAGGCAGAGCGAGGTTCCGAGGGTGAGGATGGGGGGGACAAGGAAGGTGACAGGGAGGAGCAAGAGGGGGTATACATTTTCGGGCAGTTGATATCCCCCCGAACGCAATAAGATATCGCTGCAAGCAGCAGCAGGTTTTGGAGAAAAGTTGGTGCCCAATTTTGCCAAGGGAAAGAATTGTCATGCATGTTCTTACCTTGGATAGCACTGCAAGGCAAATGTTAGTGTACATTGTTTCTATGTACACATCGTACAATAGATTCATGCTTGTTATTTATACGAAAACATGAACACGTCAATTCAGTACTGCGCTCTGCCCCCAGACTTGTATTGCTATGGAATGCATATGGAGGAACTTTTGCAGATGAAATCACCCAGTTGTGCACAGGAGGGAGGAACTTTTGCCGATGAAATCACCCAGTTGTGCACAGGAGGCATGGGTGCTACAAAACACCACGGACGCCTGAGTACAGGGTTAAAACGAACATCACTGAACCATTTTTTTTTATCGATAAGTATACACCCAGCCGCTGGATTCTTGTCGAAATGAAAAACGTTAAGACAGGTTCAACCAAGGGGTGGCTGAACTGACGCAGAGCTTAACTGTGCTCCCCTCTCGAGGCGCCTCAAGAACGAAAGGCATTCAATAGCAATATTAAATAAAAAGAAATAGGCTTTTGGAGGTACAGTCCAGTGAGGCAACACAAATCAATACTTGGTCGCATGATTACAATGTCTCGGTGCATTGAACAAGCGAGAAGAGCAAGCAAGCTGGCGGGCAGAGCAAGAGACATACCATATGATACAGATGGTGAGGAGTTGCAACGGCCCACTGGCCGGACGGACATGCCTCATGCACACCCTCATGCATGCCTGCTCCCAGACGCTCAGCAGTCAGCCGCAGGAGGAGCAGGAGGCGCAGCAGCAGATGGTGAGGAGTTGAAGTGGGCCACTGGCCGGACGGACATGCCTCATGCATGCACACCCACATGCCTGCCTGCTCCCAGGCACTCAGCAGTCAGCCGCAGGAGGAGGAGCAGCAGCAGCAGCAGCGACAGGGTGTTTTGCCATGAGGCCTAGGAGAGTGCGGGACATGAGAGCATGGTCGATGGGTTTGGTGAGATAAGTGTCAATGCCCGCATCCAGGCACTTGCAGTGGTCGCTGGTCATGGCGTGTGGGAAATTGATTGCTGCCAGACACTCAGGAATCAGCAGCAGCGGCAGGAGGAGGAGCAGCAGCAGCAGCAGCTACGGGGTGTTTCGCCATCAAACCCAGCAGCGTGCGGGACATGAGTGCAGGGTCGATGGGCTTCGTAAGGTAAGCATCCATGCCTGCGTCAAGGCATTTGCGGTGGTCGCTGGTCATGGCGTGGGCTGTGAGGGCCACTATGGGTGTGTGGAAAGGCGTCCCCGCCTCCCCTGCTCTGATCGCCGCCGTTGCTCCGTACCCGTCCAGCACAGGCATCTGTGAGGGGGGAAGGGAGGAAGGGAAGAAGAGAAGAGAGGGCAAGAGGGAGGGAAGGGGAGGAGGCATTTGCGGTGGTCGCTGGTCATGGCGTGGGCTGTGAGAGCCACGATGGGTGTGTGGAAAGGCGTCCCCGCCTCCCCTGCTCTGATGGCCGCCGTTGCTCCGTACCCGTCCAGCACAGGCATCTGAGGGGAGAAAGGGGAGGGGAGTGGTAGGGAGAGGGAGGAAGGAGAGAGGAAGGAGGGAGGGAAGCAAGAGGACGAGGGGAGGAGGGGAGGGAGGGAAAAGGGGGCACGAGCGGGTTAGGCGAGAACCACACACTCACACTCACACTCACACGCCTAAATGCATGCACACACACACACACACACACACACACCCCCACGCATGTCTATAGGCCACCAGCAGCACAAGCTCACCTGGCAATCCATCAACACCGCATCGAACCGCCCCGTATTGCTGGCGTATGTGGCCAGCACCGCATCCACTGCCTGCTGCCCGTCACACACCGCCTCCACCTCACAGCCTAGCTTCTGCATTCGGATTATGGCCACCTGGTGTGCAGGGGAGTGGGGAAGATGGATGGGGAAGAGCAGTGGGAGGAAGGGGAGTGGAGAGGAGGGAGAGCATTTGGCCTGATACCCGCCTCCACCTCACAGCCCAGCTTCTGCATTCGGATTATTGCCACCTGATGGGGTGGGGGGAGAGAAGGGGAGTGGGGACGAGGAGGTAGAGCGAGAGGATTGGCGTGCTGCCCGTCACACACCACCTCCACCCCACAGCCCAGCTTCTGCATTCGGATTATTGCCACCTGGCTGGGCGGAGGGGGGACTGGGAGAGGGTAATGGAGGAATGGAATGGCAGGGAGGGAGGGGAGTGAATGGGAAGAAGTAGCAGGAGAGGATTGGCCTGCTGCTGCCCGTCACACACCGCCTCCACCTCACAGCCGAGCTTTTCATGCAAATTATGGCCACCTGGCTGGGTGGGAAGGGGAAGGCCAGCCATTAACGCATCATCATCCACAATATCACGCCACTTCCCACCACCTCACCTCGCGCAGCAGAGCGGTGACTTCAGCAGTCAGCACCCGCTTCCCTGCTAATGCAACGCAACGCACTTCCTACCCCACCTCTCCCCTGACACATCGTCCACCACGCTACGACAACACTGCTTGCCTGCCGATGCGATGCGATAAAAGTGTTGTTTGGAGAAGTCTCAAAACAACAATTTTATCCCGTCGCACTTCCTACCCCACCTCTCCCCTAACACATCGTCCGACGTCCACCACCACCACGTTACGACAACACTGCTTGCCTGCCAATGCGAGTTCCCACCATCTCACTTTGGTTTTGAGACGTCTCACCTCCCTCATCGCCACACTCCTTCCTTCACGCCGCCTCACCTTCCTCAGCAGAGCCGTGTCTTCGGCAATCAGCACCCGCTTGCCTGCCAGCGAATTGCCTATCACACGCATCACTTCCCAATGCTGCACCTTCCTCATCTCATCGCCACTTCATTCACCCCCCCCCCCCCCCCCCCCCCCGCCTCACCTTCCTCAGCAGAGCCGTGTCTTCGGCAATCAGCACGCGCTTGCCCCTCAGCGCGTTGTCAAACGAGCCCTCAGAGAAGGACGCCTGTGGGGAGGGAGGAGAGGAGGTGCGAGGGAGGAAGCATGCGAGGCACGGAGAGGGGGTGATTTTAGAATCTAGATGCGCCTCACAAGGCGCCAGCGCGTTGTCAAACGAGCCCTCAGAGAAGGACGCCTGGGGGAAGGGGAGGGTGAGGGGAGTGGAAGGGAACATGGGAAGGGGCGGAGACGAGAGGCTGAGAGAAGGAACTGAGGAGGATGGGGGAGACCATTTCTGAGGCGCATCACAAGCTGCTAACGTGTTCGCAGACAAGCCCTCAGAGAAGGATAACTTGGGGGAGGGGAGTTGAGGGGGGGTGGGGGAGAACATTCGAGGCACGGGAAAGGAGGGGCGGAGGGGGGGGGGCTTCTGGGTTCACCCGAAACCCCAAAAATAAAAGAAACAAGATAAAAGGAGGGACGGAGGGGGAGGGGGGGTGCCAGAGGGAGAAGGGAATGGAGCATAGGGAAGGGGGGAGAGGGGGGGGGGAGCGGGGAAGGGGCATGGAGAGAGGGGGAGGGGAGGGGGTTTTAGGGTGAGAGGCACAGGCACTGACCCCTTTCTTGAGCCCGCTGTTGACCGGCCGAATCCTCCCTGACCGCGAGCCAGGAGACGACTCCAACACCCCCCCTGCTGCCCCCGCTGCTCCCGCTGCTGCTGCTGGCCGTCCGGGCCCCAGCGAGGCAACACCAGCAGCACCAGCATGAGCACCAGCACCAACTATTGAAGAAGTGTTTTGAGACGTCTCAAAACACTTCTTCCATCACCCTGCTGCTGCTGCTGGCCGTCCGGGCCCCAGCAAGCCAACAGCAGCAGCACCAGCATGAGCACCACCACCAACTCTAGCACCCTTGGGAGGTTGATCCCCCCCAGTTCACCCAAAGGGCCGGAAAACAAAAGAGGAGAAGAGAAAAGGAAAAGAAACGAAGGAGCACTGACCCCTTTCTTGAGCCCGCTGTTGACTGGCCGCGTCCTCCCTGACCGCGAGCCAGGAGACGACTCCAACACCCCTGCTGCTCCCGCTGCTCCCGCTGCTCCTCCCTGTGCAGGAGAGCCAGCACCAGCACCAGCACCAGTAGCACCGTCACTTAGGGCCGGGCCGGGGCCTTCCGCACTCGCCGCCGAGGGAATCAGGGGCCGGCCGGAAGGGAGGCCGTGTGGGGAGGCAGCAGCAGCGGCGTGGGGAGAGGGGAGGGGGGGTCCGCGACCTGAGGGAGGGGGTTACCCAGACACAGCCGCTCCCCCCCCACCAGTGGTAGAACCACCAGCGGCAGAACCAGCAGCGGTGGCGGTAGTGGGGGTGGAGGCGGAGGGGCGAGGGCAGGGGGAGAAGGGGACGGAGACGGCAGCCGTGTTGCGCAGAGCGGTGGACGAGGCTGCTGGGGAGTCGGCTGATTCGTCCTCCTCTGCTGGCACTGGCAGCCCCCACGCCTGGTGGATGGGAGGGGAAGGGGGGTGTGAGGGGGGGGGGAATGACGGGGAAGGAGAGTGAGCGGCAGCAGCAGCAGCAGCAGCAGCAGCGGCGGCTGCTGGGGAGTCGGCTGACTCGTCCTCCTCTGCTGGCGCTGGCAGCCCCCACGCCTGGTGGATGGGGGAGGGAAGAAGGGGAGAGATGGAGGAGAGTGAGAGTGAGTGGCAGCAGCACCATCAGAAGCACCACCAGCGGCTGCTCGGGAGTCGGCTGACTCGTCCTCCTCTGCTGGCGCTTGTAGGCCCCATGCCTGGTGGGCGGGAGGGGAAGGGGGGTGTGAGAGGGGGGGGGGGAAGACGGGGAAGGAGAGTGAGTGGCAGCAGCAGCAGCAGCAGCAGTGGCTGCTGGGGAGTCGGCTGACTCGTCCTCCTCTGCTGGCGCTGGCAGGCCCCATGCCTGGTGGGGGGAGGGGGTGGGCGGACGGAGGGAGGAAGGAGAGTGAGAGAGAACGGCAGCGCGGTGGACGAGGCTGCTGGGGAGTCGGCTGATTCGTCCTCCTCTGCTGGCGCTGGTAGCCCCCACGCCTGGTAGGGTGGGGGAGGGGGGGAGAGCGGGAGTGAGTGGCACCGGCAACGGAAGCAGCAGCGGCGGCAGCAGCAGCAGCACAGAAACAACAACACTTGTCAGAGGAAAGACAGCACCTACCTGCTCGTTGGACTCACCATGATGCCATTGCGAACCAACCACACCGCCCTCTCAAGATGGCTTCTGAGTCGACTTGAAAGTAACCAAGGCTTTCCAACCAAAGAGTAGCAACAGCGTTGCCAAGAGAACTCAAACCACCATACTCTCACCTGCTCGTTCCCCTCGCCATGATGCCACTGTGAACCGCCCCCTTCCCCTCCCCCCTCCCCCCTCCCCCCCTCGCCTGCCCCTCCCTCCGAACGTGCGTGGCATGTCAATCTGCGAGCTCGAGTGCGGCACACTGTTCCTGGCAGTGGCCATGCCTGACCACACAAACCAAACAACCATACGCTCACCTGCTCGTTGGCCTCCCCATGATGCCACTGCAACCCCCCCCCCCCCCCTTCCCCTCCCCCATCTCCCCCTCGCCTCGCATGTCAATCTGCGAGCTCGAGTGCGGCACGCTGTTCCTGGCAGTGGCGAGGGCGAGGAGACAAAACCCTATACTCTCACCTGCTCGAGTGCGGCACGCTGTTCCTGGCCGTTGCCAGGGTGAGCAGAGGCCTAAGAACTGCCACAACATATTTGAAAACCTAGAACTCCTGCTTGAGTGCGGCACGCTATCTATTCCAGGCCGTCAACCTAAACCCCGACCACACAAACCAAACAACCATACTCTCTCACCTGCTCGTTCCCCTCCCCATGATGCCACTGCGAGCCCCCCCCTTCACCTCCCCCGTCTCCGCCCCGTCCGCCCCTCCCTCCAAACGTGCGTGGCATGTCAATCTGCGAGCTGGAGTGCGGCACGCTGTTCCTGGCAGTGGCGAGGGCGAGGAGAGGGGCCATTCGGGAAGCATAGAGGGGCTTGGACGCCACTGCACACCCCGACCTGCGTATGGGGGTCAGGGAGTGGAGGAGGCGCAACGAGGGGGATCAGGGGGGTAATAAGGGATTGTGAGGGCCAGCAGAGGGACCATGCGTGATGCATAGAGTGGCCTGGACGCCACTGCACTGCACACCCCGACCTGCTAAGGGAAAAACTCGAGTGCGGAACGCTGTTCCTGGCCGAGGGAGGGGGGGAGGGGGGGGGGGGGTAATGGGAAGGAGGGAGGCGAGGGGAGAGGACGGGCTAAGGGAAAAACTTGAGTGCGGAACGCTGTTCCTGGCCGTTGCCAGCGCAAGCAGAGGGGCCATGCGCAACGCATAGAGGGGTTTGGACGCCACTACACACCCCGACCTGTACATGGGGAATGGGGGAGAGGGGCAGGAAACGGGTGGGAAGGGGGGTGTGGGTGGGACGGGGTTAAGGGGAGAGCAAGAGATAAGGATGGTTGAGTTGCGAGATGGATTGTGTTGGTTTTATTCAGGCGCCTCAAAATCCCCGTGATCTGAGACGGCAATTTTTGCGGCGCCTCCGAAAAGGGGGTTTTAGGAGAGAGCATGAGGATGGGCGAGTTGTCAGATTGAGTGTGGCATGGCATGCTGTTGGCATGGCATGCTGTTCCTGCGGTCACTTCTCACACGCACACGTGCTCTCCCCTCTCAGAACCTACCTTCTGAGCGCCCTCCTGGTGTCGGCCGACGTGTTGTGCTCCACGAGCCACGCAATCACGAAGCCCTGGTGCTGCAGCCGTGCCCGAAAAATATGAAGCTCCTCGGCAATGAACTGATGCACGCTGGGCACGATGGCCACGTCTATCACCGCCAGCATCAGCTTCCATACCGGCCGGGCTGCTGAGGAGGAGGAGGACGAGCCTACCTTCCATACTCACCTGCCTGCCTGCTGCCCTGCCTTCTCGGAGACTACCTTCTGAGTGCGCGCCTAGTATCGGCGGACGTGTTGTGCTCCACCAACCAGGCGATCACGAAGCCCTGGTGCTGCAGCCGTGCCCGGAATATATGAAGCTCCTCGGCAATAAATTGATGTACGCTGGGCACGATGGACACGTCTATCACCGCCAGCATCAGCTTCGATGCCGGCCGGGCTGCTGAGGACGACGACGAGGAGGATGATGCTTGGGCTGCCTGCCAGAACCTACCGTCTGTCTGAGAATTCTTACCTCCTGAGTGCGCGCCTAGTGTCTGCCGAAGTGTTGTGCTCCACCAACCACGCGATGACAAACCCCTGGTGCTGCAGGCGTGCCCGAAATATATGAAGCTCCTCTGCGATGAATTGATGCACGCTGGGCACAATCGACACGTCTATCACCGCCAGCATCAGCTTCGATGCCGGCCGGGCTGTAGAGGAGGAGGACGAGGAGGAGGAGGATGCTTGGGCTGCTGCTGAAGAAGGAGGGGAGGCGGGGATGAGCCGGGATGGGGATGCCGGGACGACTCGTGAGGGGGACGCGGCAGAGAGGAACGATCCACGGGAAGCCGTGGCAGCAGCGGGAGCAGCAGCAGCAGCACCACCACCACCACCAGCGCCACCAGTGCCGGCACCTTCTGATTCAACCGCAGCAACAGCGGCGGCGGCAGCAGCAGCAATTGAGCCGTCTTTGTCTGACCCGACACCCCCCGGGCCGCCTCTCCCTCCCAGTAACCCCGCTCCGAGCGACCGGGAGCCGATGCTCCCATGAGCTAACGGCCCACTCAACAGGCCCTGCTGCTCCCTGCCCATCGTCCCATCAAAAGACAGCGATGCGAGACCATTGGGGGGCGTGCCTAGCGCACCGCCAGCAGCACCAGCAGCAGCACCAGCGGCAGCAGCATCAGCAGAAGCGGGAGGGGTGGTGGTGGTGGAGGCAGAGCCGTGGCTGGAAAAGGAGGGATCCTGGTCTGAGCCACGGCTGCTACCCTGCTTCTCCAGGGACCGACGGGACTTGGTGCTCAGACCACGCCCCAGTAACCTGCTGCTGCTGCTGCCAAGGCTCTTCACCATCCCCATCGCCCTCCCTCCCGCCAACCCCCCTCCTCCTTTCCCCCCTTCCGCCCCCTCCCCCACTCCCCCGTCCCCAACCTCCCCCTCCTCGCTGTCGCCGCAAGTGCTTGCAGCAGCAGGGCTGCCGAAGCAGCGCCCGGGGCTGCTGAGAATGCGCCCGTTGCCCAGAGGATGGGAGGGTGAAGGCAGCCGGTTCCACACCTCCCTCTGCCCCTGCCCCTGCCCCTGCCCCTGCCCCTGCCCCTGCCCCTGCCCCTGCCCTGGTCCGCCTGATTCAGATACCACCTGCCCCAGCTGCGCCTGCATAGGCCCTGACAGGGGGGGGGTCTGATCAGGGGTGAATGGCCTAGGGGAGGTCCCACCTGTCCCGCCTCCCCCTCCCCCTCCCCCTCCCCCCTCCCCCAGGTCCGCCTGGCACAGCTGCTACAGCCGCTGCCACAGCTGCTGCTACAGCCGCTGGTGATGGCGCTACAGGTGCTGCCGAGGAGTCGTGAGCGCGCGGGGAGGGACTGAGCCAGCCTACAGCCGACCTCGCTTTATCCACCATCGGACTGAACCCACCCGCACCACTCCCAACACCACCACCACCTCCACCACCACCACCGATGCTGCTGCTGCCAGCACCCCCAGCACCAAAACTACCACCTCCCACCCCGCCCCCCCCCCAACGCTCCTCCCGCAACACCATTCCCCCCTCTCTCCCCCTTCTCCCCTCTCTCCCCCCCTCTCTCCCCCTTCTCTCCCTTCTCCCCCTTCTCCCCCTTCTCCCCCCCTCCCCCTCTCAGAGCAGTGAAGCTCCGCATGAGAGGGGCAGAGAAGCCCACGAGGGAGCGCGAGGCGCGGGGCGGCTGCGAGGCGGCGGACTTCTGGATCAATATGGAGGCGACAGCTGGCATGATCTCCTGCCACGTGTGCGCGCGCCACACCTTGAGCTTGCGCCGCTCCATCCAGGCTGTGGCTATGGCTGCCCCGGCACTGTCCTCCTTCATTGCCAGCAGCACCTGAGGGGGATAAGAAGCGAAGGGTGGGCGGAGTGGGGAGAGAGGAGAGGAGAGAAGGGAGAGGGGAGAAGGGATGAGAAGGCATGCAGGCAGAGTGAGAGCGCCGCGCCACACCTTGAGCTTCCGCCACTCCATCCAGGCTGTGGCTATGGCCGCCCCTGCGCTGTCTTCCTTCATTGCCAGCAGCACCTGATGTGGGATGAGGAGGAGAGAGCAAGGGGGGGAAGAGTGGGCGGGGGAAGGAAGATGAGACGACGTGTAGGCAGAGTAAGAGCGCCACACCCTGCTCAATCCAGGCCGTGGCGAGGCGATGGCCGCCCCCGCACTGTCCTCCTTTCGAGGTTCAGACATGTCTCAGTGAGCTGCGTGTGTGTAAAAATCGACTCATCACTTGATGGCCGCCCCGGCACTAACCTCTCCTCCTTTCATTGCGAGAAGTACCTGCTGTGATGAGGAGAGAGGAGGCGGGAAGAGAAGATATATGCACAAGCTGTTGAGACGGTTGCTCCTCCTCCATCCAGCCTCCCCCTCACTTGCCCCAGGTTCCTACCCCACCCCTTCTTTATCGAACTTCCCTCCAACCCCACTTCCACCTACCCACCCTCGACCACCAACGCTCATCCGTCCCCACCCTCGACCCACCCTCGACCCACCCTCGACCACCAACGCTCATCCTCACTTGCCCTCCTCCCACCTCCTCCCCCACAAACCGCCCCTCCCCTCCCCTCCTCACCTGCCCGCCCTCCACGGCAGTCAGCTTCGGCAGCAGCAGTTCCGGCTGAAGCATGCTGTTGTGCCACCCCCCACCGCCCTCCACCGCTTCGAACCGCATGTCGAAGCGGAACCGCGCCCCCTGCCCATCCTTGTCCACCACGGCTATTGACCCCCCCATCAGGTTCACCTGTTGTTACACACGCGGTTACACATGCGGTTACACACGCGGTTACACATGCGGTTACACACGGGGTTACACACGGGGTTACACACAGGGTTACAAATTGGTTTACACATGGGATTTACATGTATGCAGTTACACACAGAGTCACAAACAGGGACAGGTTTACGAATGGGGTTACAAATCACCCAAAAAAGCTGGGAGGATGTATACAAGCAGAGATGGAAAAGGATGGGGGGATAAGGGTGGGCACGGGGAAGGGAGGGGAAGTGGAAGGGTAAGAGGAAGGGGAAGCAGAAGGGGAGGGCGAAGCAGAAGGGGAAGGGGAAGTGGAAGGGGAAGGGTAAAGAGTTGGGGATGGTAGGGAGGGAGAAAACGTATGGGGTGGCTTACCAGCGAGCGTACGATTCCCAGACCGAGCCCTGCCACAGTAAAGGCACACGTGGGAGGGGGATGGTGGAAGGGGATGGGCACGGCGAAGGGGAGAGGGACGGGGAGGAGGAGGGGGGGGATAGGAACAGGGGGGGGAAGAGGGGGCACAGTAGTGGTGAGCATTAGTGTGGGTGGCTGATCAGGTGGGAGTAGTGAGCAGTAGTGATGATTGCCTGGCCAAGACCTGGCATGGCGAAGAGTGGCGCGACGGGTGGAATGGTGGGAGTGGGATGGTGGCAGGGTGGGAAGGGTGGCGCGAAGGGTGGAATGGTGCGATTCCCACCTCACCCGACCTCACCCCACCTCACCCGACCTCACCCCACCTCACCCGACCTCACCCCACCTCACACCACCTCACCCCAACCACACCCCACCGCACCCCACCTGTGCAACCATGCGTCCTTGCAGTGGACACATCTGCCTGTTGAAAAGTTTTCAAAGATGGACTCTCGCTTGCTTGTGCACGGGAATGCCTGGCCCCGTGTCATCCACCTCAATCATGAACGCCACTGTGCCTCCCCTCCCACCATCCCACCTCACCCCACCCCATTCCACCCCATCCCACCTCACCCCACCTCATTCCACCCCATTCCACCCCACCCCACTGCATCTCACCTGTGCCACCATGTGTGCGGGCAGTGGAAACATCAGCCTGCTGGAAATTCTCAAAGATGGACTCCCGCTTGTGCACGGGAATGCCTGGCCCCGTGTCATCCACCTCAAACATGAATGCCACTGTGCGCCGCCCCTTGCCCCCGCCCTGCTCCCCCCCTCCCACCCCCGCCCCCGCCCCCGCCACTCCTGCCCCCCCTATGTCTGCTGCTGCATTGTCCACATCGCGGCTCTTGGACCTGCTGTGCCGCCTGCTGCTGGGGGCAAGGGGGGAGGGGATGGGGAAGGAGGGAGGGTGGTGGGGACGGGGGAGGAAGGCAGAGACCTGCATTGTCCACATCGCGGCTCTTGGACCTGCTGTGCCGCCTGCCGCTGGGGGCAAGGGGGGATGGGGAGACAGGAGGGGACAGAGAGGAGAGAAGGCAGAGGGGGGAGGAAAAAAGGCAGGTAAGGAGGGATGCCTGGCCGGCCCCGTGTCATCCACCTCAAACATGAACGCCACTGTGCGCCGCCCCTTGCCCCCGCCCTGCTCCCCTCCCACCCCCGCCCCTCCGCCCATTCCCCCACCCACTCCTCCCCCTGCGTCTGCTGCTGCATTGTCCACATCGCGGCTCTTGGACCCGCTGTGCTGCCTGCTGCTGGGGGGAAAGGGTTTCGAGGGAAGGAAAGGGAGGGGGAGGAAGGCAAGGCATGGGAAAGCAGGAAGGAGAGTAAGCGGAAATGAGAGGCTCTACTACTCTTCTTGATTCACCGCCCCCCCTTCTCCTTCCCCCCCTCCCTCCCCACCATCCCCTCTCTCCTCCTCCAACCCTCCTCCCACCCACCGCATTTATTCCGCACCCCTCTCCCCCTCCCCAACCCCACTCACTTGCCCTTCTTCCCCAGGATGGAGAGGTCCTGCTTTGCCAGCTGCGGGGGCGGCCTGTCCCGCACCCACCCCTCAGTCTCTCACTTCCAAGTTCCAACCCTCTCCCCCTCCCCCTCCCCCGCACTCACTTGCCCTTCTCCCCTGGGATGGAGAGGTCCTGCTTGGCCAGCTGCGGGGGGGGTCTGTCCCGCACCCACCCCCGCACCACCACCTGGCCGTTCTTGGTGAACTTGCACGCGTTGCTGAGTAGATTCGCAAACACCTGCAGGTGGGGAAGAGGGGAGGGGAGGGGAGGGGAGGGGAGGCACAGCAGCATGAGGGGGGAGAAAGACGGGTCACCACCACCTGGCCGTTCTTGGTGAACTTGCATGCGTTGCTGAGTAGATTCGCAAACACCTGAGAGAGGAGAGGAGAGGAAGGGAGGGGAGGGGAGGGGAGGGGAGGGGAGGGGAGGCACAGCACAGTGCATGAGGGGGGAGAAAGACGGGTCTTTACCACCTGACCGATCTTGGTGAACTTGCACGCGTTTCTTAGGAGTGTAATGAGTCGACTCAAAACACAACCCGCTCTTGGTGAACTTGCATGCGTTTCTTAGGAGTGTAATGAGTCGACTCAAAACACGACTCGCTCTTGGTGAACTTGCATGCGTTTCTTAGGAGTGTAATGAGTCGACTCAAAACACGACTCGCTCTTGGTGAACTTGCATGCGTTTCTTAGGAGTGTAATGAGTCGGCTCAAAACACGACTCGCTCTTGGTGAACTTGCATGCGTTTCTTAGGAGTGTAATGAGTCGACTCAAAACACGACTCGCTCTTGGTGAACTTGAACGCGTTTCTTAGGAGTGTAATGAGTCGACTCAAAACACGACTCGCTCTTGGTGAACTTGCATGCGTTTCTTAGGAGTGTAATGAGTCGACTCAAAACACGACCCGCTCTTGGTGAACTTGCATGCGTTTCTTAGGAGTGTAATGAGTCGACTCAAAACACGACCCGCTCTTGGTGAACTTGCATGCGTTTCTTAGGAGTGTAATGAGTCGACTCAAAACACGACCCGCTCTTGGTGAACTTGCATGCGTTTCTTAGGAGTGTAATGAGTCGACTCAAAACACGACTCGCTCTTGGTGAACTTGCATGCGTTTCTTAGGAGTGTAATGAGTCGACTCAAAACACGACTCGCTCTTGGTGAACTTGCATGCGTTTCTTAGGAGTGTAATGAGTCGACTCAAAACACGACTCGCTCTTGGTGAACTTGCACGCGTTTCTTAGGAGTGTAATGAGTCGACTCAAAACACGACTCGCTCTTGGTGAACTTGCACACGTTTCTTAGGAGTGTAATGAGTCGACTCAAAACACGACTCGCTCTTGGTGAACTTGCACGCGTTTCTTAGGAGTGTAATGAGTCGACTCAAAACACGACTCGCTCTTGGTGAACTTGCACGCGTTTCTTAGGAGATTTGCGAACACATGGGAGAGAGGGAGAGGGAAACGGAGAGGGAGAGGGAGGCGAAGTGGTTAAAGGGATTAGAGAAAGGAGAAAGGAGATAGCTGAAACAAGAGGTAAGTGTGAAGTTGGAGTGGGAGGAGTGGGATAGGCCACGGCGGCATGAGATCCAAGAGAGAACGGGCTGGGGAGGGAAAACCAAGTGTTTTGGAGGAGAGGAAACTATGGGACTGAAGAAAGTGGAAGACCAGGGGCAGGAGAAAGCCGGGAAGAGGGTGGGCGTTAGTGTGTGGAGATGGAGAAAGCGAGGAAGAGGGTGGGGGTAAGTGTGTGGGGTGGAAAGCGGGGAGGAGGGCAAGCGGCACGTGGAAGGCGCGGGGCACATGGCATGGCAGGTCCGAACCTGTCTGACGCGAGACGGGTCGCCCTTCACCGTCCGATCGATGTCGTCAGAGAGATCGAGGGCGATCTCGGTGCCGTTGCTGAGGCCCTGCACGCTGAACATGTCGACCAGTGACTCGAGCTCGCCCACTATGTCAAACTCCAGCACCTCCAGCTGCATCTTGCCTGCTTCCACCTGCGATACTCGCACACACACACACACACACACACGCAGAGGTACAAACACAGGCAACAGCCAGAATGAAAAGTGACTCGAGCTCGCCCACTATGTCAAACTCCAACACCTCAAGCTGCATCTTGCCCGCCTCCACCTGGAATACACACAGAGGTGCAAATGCAGATAAGAGTAAGAACGAGAGCAATGACTCGAGCTCGCCCATCATGCCAATCTCATCTCAGTTGAGAAAAGCTGGACTCGAACCGTCGAACCGCTACAAGTCTCCTCTCCAGCACCTCCAGCTGCATCTTGCCTTCTTCCACCTCCCACACACTCGCGTGAACAGATGGCACACCGATGTAGTCTGTGTGCCATTGTAACGAGGTGACTTTTGAGTCGACTCAAAAGTCACACCGATGTAGTCCAGCTCGAGCCGGTTCTGGATCGAATCTCTTCTCATGCCTAACCTGCGCCAAAGACGCGATGGATTAGGGACCTCTCGTGAGATGGATGGAGCCGTCTCAAACCTCATCCTCTCATGCTCATGCCTAGCCTATTCGGTGGCAAGGAAAAAGGAAGCAAGAGCAAAGAAGTGGTGGTGGTGGAGGCACCTTGGCAAGGTCGAGCAGGTTGTTGAGGAGTCCGAGGAGGGAGGCACAGCAGGACTTCATCAGAATGCAGGTAAGGTAAGGGCAAGGGGAGTGGTGGTGGTCGCACAGCACGACTTCAGAATAAGGGTAAGGTAAGTGCAAGGGAGTGGGGTGGTGGTGGAGGCACCTTGGCGAGGTCGAGCAGGTTGTTGAGGAGTCCGAGGAGGGAGGCACAGCAGGACTTCATCTGGCGCAGATTGGCCTCCTGCTCCGATGACAGGTGGTCGCACAGCATGATGTCCAGTAGGCCTAGAATTCTGCAGAGGGGAAAGGAGGGGGGGAAAGGGGGGTGGGTTTCGAGACACTCAATAATTTTCTCCAATGACAGGTGGGTGGTCGCACAGCACGAGCATGATGTCTAGTAGACCCAAGATGCTGAAGGAGGGGGGGCGGTGGGAGATGTGAGGATGGATGCAGCCCAACATTAGTGTGATGGTGTTTGTGTGTTGAGGGGGGGGGGGGGGGGAGAGGGGGGAGGGGAGAAGCGGGTGGGGGGGAAAGGGGAGTGGGGAGACAGAGGCCCAACCTTGACTTGACTCACCCGGCCATAGGAGTCCTAAGATCGTGGGAGATGTTGGCAAGAAACTGGCTCTTCACTTCCGAGGCAGCCTGGGCTCTCTGCGTCTCCTCCATCTGGCGCTGCAGCTCCTCCTTGGGGCGCATGCGTGTGTCCACGTAGAGCGTGAGAAAGATCACCACGGCCCACCCCACCCCCCAACCCACCAGGGTGCGTGTGCATGTAGAGTGTGTGTGTGGGTGGGGGAAAGTGGGACAACAGAGGCCCAACCCAACCCAACCCTTGACTCACCCGGCCATAGGGGTCCTGAGGTCATGGGAAATGTTGGCCAGGAATTGGCTCTTGACCTCTGAGGCAGCCTGGGCTCGCTGGGTCTCCTCCATCTGGCGCTGCAGCTCCTCCTTGGGGCGCATGCGCGTGTCCACGTAGAGCGTGAGAAAGATCACCACGGCCCACCCGATGAGCAGCAGGCAGAGCGCGACTGCCGTGGTGACGATGACCATGATGCGCTGCTTTGACTCTATTGACGCTGTTATGGACGCACGCGGCATGATGATCGCCAGGTACTGTTGTTGGGGGGGAGGGGAAGAGGGGGGAGAGTAGGGGATGGGAGCGGGGTAGGGGGAGGGAGGGGGGAAAGGGAAAAAGGAGGGATGGGGGGAGAATGGGGAGGAGTAGAGATGGGCATGCGCGTGTCCACGTAGAGCGTGAGGAAGATCACCACGGCCCAGCCAATGAGCAGCAGGCACAGCGCCACTGCGGTGGTGACAATGACCATGATGCGCTGCTTTGACTCTATGATGCTGTTATGGACGCGCGGGGCATTATGATCACCAGTTACTGGAAAGGGAGGGGGAAGGGGGAGACATGGGCAGGAGAGGGCGTTTGTAAGAGCACCAGCGGCAGCACCAGCACCAGCAGCAGCAGCAGCAGCAGCAGCACCACCACCACCACCACCACCACCATCACCAGCAGCAGCAGCGGCGGCATCACCACGGCCCAGCCGATGAGCAGCAGGCAGAGCGCGACTGCTGTGGTGACAATGACCATGATGCGCTGCTTTGACTCTATTGACGCTGTGATGGACGCACGCGGCATGACGATCACCAGGTACTGGGAGGGAGGGGGAGAGGGGAGGGGAGAAGGGGAGTGGAGAGGAGGAAGGGGGGACGGGAGGAGGAGCGGGGGAGGGGAAATGAGGGGGTGGGGGGAGAATGGGGAGGAGGAGAGACAGATATGGACAGGAGAGGGCATTTCTAAAACCACCACTGTCGCCGGCCGGCCAGGTGATGAGCAGCCGACAGAGGGCCGTGGTGACGATGAGATGAGTTTGATGTGCTTGTATCTACACTGAGTCTCCCTGTCACGCCTCACCATGTTGAGGTTATCGAAGCTGAGAGCCATGGTGCTCACGAAGCACTCCTCCCCGTTCACCATCACACCCCCCACCGAGTAGTTCCCCGCCACCAGCGCCGGCAGCCCAAACCGCGCCTCCAGGTACCGCGCTGTATCGGCAATCACCGCATCCGACACCTGCGTCGCGTTCACCAGCACCGGCATCGCCTGCCCGGCCCCCGGCCCTTCAAAACCCTCCGGCAGCGGCGGCGGCCCCCCCTGCTGCTGCTGCTGCTGCTGCCCCGACCCGCTCTGGTTGCCGCTCCCACCTCCGCTCACCCCACTGGAAGCAGCAGCAGGAGCAGCAGCAGCAGCAGCAGCAGCAGCAGAAGCAGCAGCAGCTGCTGCATCTCCTCCTGACCCGGGATTCCCAGACGGGGTAGCCATGGCGGTGGTGGCGGCGTTGGTGGAGGTGGCAACGAGGAACCCGTCGCTGCTGCAGATGTACATCACACTGTTGTCTGTGCCTGACAGCCCCAGGTAGCGGTTCACTGTACCTGTGGAGGAGCCCAACGTTACTATGCCCGTGATGGCTGGGACAGAGGCGGCAGTGGCAGGGGTATGAGGGGCGGCAGAGGCAGGGGTAGGAGGGGTGGCAGCAGCAGGGGTAGGAGGGGTGGCAATGGTGCTGGTGGCGGTGCGGGTGGTGGTGGGTGAGGGGGTGGCTGAAGCAGGGGTAGAGGTGTTGGGAGAGGGGGAGGAGCTAGTGGACTGTGGAATGACCTGAGAACGAGGCGCGGCATCAGTAGAGGCAGCCGCGGCAGCAGCAGCAGATGCTGATGCCGATACAAACCTTACTGCCCCAGCACTGCCAGCAGTAGCAGCAGCAGCAGCAGCAGCAGCAGCAGCAGCAGCAGCAGCAGCAGCAGCAGCAGCAGCAGCAGTGGCAACAGCAGTGGCAGCAGCAGCTGAGGCGACGTGCGAAGGTCGTTGGGAATGCAAATGGAAATGCGGGTGGAAGTGCCTTTCTGGCAGCGACAACACCTCCCGTGCCACCAACCCATCGCCCTCACCACCCCCATCCTCATCCGCAACCCCATCCCTATCCCTATCCCCAAAATCCGGAGCAGCACCTCCTTGGATCGTTGCGTCAACCTTCGTAGCCCCTCCAACCCCTCCCACCCCCCTCCCACCCCCACTCCCTCCCCCATTCCCTCCCGCACTCCCCACCACCCCTTTCACCACCGCCCCTCCCCCCACATCCCACCACTCATCCCCCCCAACATCCTGTCCAATCGCTTTCCTCTGCTCCGCACCCCTGACAGCCACAGACGCGAGCAAGAGCGGTCCAGAGAGGTTCTGAACGGCATTGAAGGACCAGAGCAGCAGGCCAGGGGGGCCGCTGGCAACGAGGTCATAGATGGCTGGGGAGCCGATGGGCACTGGCGTGAAGTTGCGAGGGGGCGACTGGGGGAGGGCTGATCCGGTGGAGGTGTTTACTGCCTGGATGTACCACCGGCCTGGTTGCACAGGTGGGTGGGGACGGGGGTTGAGGGGGGGAGAAGTGGGTGGGGGAAATGGGGTGGGGGAAGTGAGCAGGAAGGGAGTGGGGATAGGGAATGAACAAGGGAGGGAGGGAGGATGAAGAGGTAGAGAGGTTAAGGACCAGAGCAGCAGGCCGGGGGGGGGCGCTAGCAAAGCAACGTTGTCATAGACGGTTGGGGACCCGATGAGCACTGGCGTGAAGTTCCGTGGTGGTGACTGGGGGAGGGCGGATCCGGTGTAGGTGTTAACTGCCTGGATGTACCACCGGCCTGGTTGCGTTATGCATAGGTGGGCGGGGATGGGAGTGGGGGAGGGGGAGAATGGGGGTGGGGAAAAGAGGGGGGGATGGAGAAGGGAGGGAGGATGGAGAGGTAGAGAGGTTGAAGGTCCAGCGGGGCAGGCCGGGAGGGCCGCTGGCAACCAACGCGATCGTAGACGGCTGGGGACCCGATGGGCACTGGCGAGAAGTTCCGCAATGTGGTGGTGACTGGGCATGCCATTCTTACCTGTGATGTCGGTGATATTCTTTGTGTAGACCTGCGACACAGCGCCGCCAGGGGTGGCTGAGAACGACTGGGTGACAGGGTCGGTCTGGGAGTAGCCGACGAGGCAGCCAAAGTGGGAGAAGTAACCCATGATGGTGAGGCGCGGCAGGGACGACTGGAAGAATGACCATGCTAGAGGAGCGATCTGCAGAAGCGTGGGAGATAGAGACAGGGGAGAACGAGCAGGGGAACGCAAGGGACGGAGAGAGAGGGATTTAAGGGAGAGAGTAGCCGACGAGGCAGCCGAAGTGGGAGAAGTAACCCATGATGGTGAGGCGCGGCAGGGACGAGTGGAAGAATGACCACGCTAGAGGGGCGATCTGTGAGGGAGAGCAGCAGGGGGTTGGGCAAAAAGAGGGATGGTTGGACAAGAGAAGAAGGGTTGGGTTGAGCAAGAGAGTAGGGTGAGGCGTGGAAGGGACGAGTGGAAGAATGACCATGCCAGAGCGGTGAGATTGAGTTGAGTCCCTCCACAGACATGATAGTCTGCCTGTGCCAGCAGATTCTCCACCACGCACGCACCCTACACACACACCTACCGTTCAACGCACGCACCCTACACACACACCTACCGTTCAACGCACGCACCCTACACACACACCTACCGTTCAACGCACGCACCCTACACACACACCTACCGTTCAACGCACGCACCCTACACACACACCTACCGTTCAACGCACGCACCCTACACACACACCTACCGTTCAACGCACGCACCCTACACACACACCTACCGTTCAACGCACGCACCCTACACACACACCTACCGTTCAACGCACGCACCCTACACACACACCTACCGTTCAACGCACGCACCATACACACACACCTACCGTTCAACGCACGCACCCTACACACACACCTACCGTTCAACGCACGCACCCTACACACACACCTACCGTTCAACGCACGCACCCTACACACACACCTACTGTTCAACGCACGCACCCTACACACACACCTACCGTTCAACGCACACACCCTACACACACACCTACCGTTCAATGCACACACCCTACACACACACCTACCGTTCAACGCACGCACCCTACACACACACCTACCGTTCAACGCACGCACCCTACACACACACCTACCGTTCAACGCACGCACCCTACACACACCTACCGTTCAACGCACACACCTGCTGCTGCGCATACCCAAGCCTCACGACAAAAGTGTTGGTGTGCGCCAGAAGGTTCTCCACCACAGAGGCATACGAAAGCAGCACGTCACCATACTTCGGGATCACTCACACACACACACACACACACACACACACACACACACACACACACACACACACCTAGCCAATCCACACACACTGCTACTGTTCAACGCACCTGTTGCTGCGCATAATTTAGTCCCACCACCGAAGTGTTGGTGTTTGCCAGAAGGTTCTCCACCACAGAGGCATACGAAAGCAGCACGTCGCGGTCGCGGTTGATGTAGAGCAAGAACTGCTGGTGCACCCGCACCAGGGACTTCTGCCGCAGCCTGCGAGGTTTCAGAGCGGCGGAGAGAGGCGGAGACGGGTGGAGAGCATTTGAGAGCGGTGGAGAGTGGTGAAGGGGGGTCCGGGAAGAGGGGGGAGTGAATGAGAAGCGGAGGTGAAGGCGAGCAGCACGTTGCGGTCGCGATTGATGAAGAGCAAGAACTGCTGGTGCACCCGCACCAGGGACTTCTGGCGCAGCCTGCGGGGGTTGAGAGCGGTGGAGAGTGATGGAGAGGGGTGAAGAGTGGTGGAGGGCAGTGGAGAGGAGTTGGGGAAGAGGGGGGGGGGGAGGGGGGGGAGGTGAATGAGAAGTAGGTGAAGGCGTGCAGCACGTCGCGGTCGTGGTTGATGTAGAGTAGGAACTGCTGGTGCACCCGTACCAAGGACTTCTGCCGCAGCCTGGATGGAAGGGTTGAGCGCGGTGGAGAGCGGTTGAGAGGGGTGGAGAGGGATGGAGAGCGGTTGCGAGAGGTGAAAGGCAGTGGGGGAAGAGAGGGGAGAGTGAATGAGTAGCAGAAGCAAAGGCGAGCAGCAGATCCCAGTCGCGGTTGATGTAGAGCAGGAACTGCTGGTGCATGCGCACCAAGGACTTCTGCCGCAGCCTGGAGGGGTTGAGAGCGGTGAGAGATGAGAGGGGTTGAAAACAGACGACAGCCGTGAAAAGGGCGAATCTGCGGGGATCTGGCGGACGACATGCCTGCTGATAGGAGACGACGAGCCAATCATGACGTTGATTGACATGGCGGTCAATAAAAGAAACAGTTTCCCAAGAACATGGCGGGCGGGCGGACGGACGTAACGCTGGCTGATAGAATAGACGACTCGAATGGCGATGAGCTGGATGGATGGACTGGCTCATTGCGATTCCCCCTTTACCCCTTTCCCGCTCATCGCCATTTGAGCCCCCCTTGCCCTGTCCGGATCGTAGCTCGCCTTTCGAGACGTCTCAAAACTTTTGAGACGCGGCGCCGCAAAACACGGACGACGGCATGTCGGCCAATGGAAGAGGACGAGGTGGACCAGCTTGCTCCAGGCCGCTTGCCCCGTTCGGTTCGCAGCTCGCCTCGGCTAGTCAAGCAAGCGACTGCATAGTCCAATGACACTGTCCAACGAAACACAAAACAGAGAATATGGAACTTACTGTGTGGCGATGTCATCGAGCGAGTCACTGTACATCTTGCCCGCTGCATACCACGTGCTCACACAGAGAGATGGCTTTTGAGTCAACTCAGAAGCAAGCAAGCAAGCAGCTTACTGAGTGGCGATGTCATCGAGGGAGTCGCTGTACATCTTGCCCGCTGCATACCACGTGCTCACACACAGCACCACCGTGACTATAACGAGCAGCGCCTGTGGGAGAGCATGGGGAGGGGAGGGGGGTGTGGGGTGGGAGGGGGAAGGAGGATGGGCAGGGAAGGAGACGGAGAGGACGGAACAAAAGCACATCGCAAGGGTCGTGTGGCAGGCTGCAGAGAAACACACACACAGCACGTGCTCACTCATACAACGGACCAGTGAGCGAGTGATGAAGGAACGAAAGAGGGAAAGTTACACATACCACATACGTACATACCATCATCGTGAGGCGAGTGATAACAACGGGGGATTTGAGTGAGTCCAAGAGGAACCTTCCTCCGCCCTTCCTCATGAGCCATCCATCTCCCTCCCTCCCTCCTTCCTCTTCCCCCTTGCTCCCTCCTCCTCGGCCGTTCTCCTTAGTCGTTCTCCCCCCTTCCTTGCTCTTCTTCCCATGCCGCCACGGTTTCTTCTCCTTCCCGCCACCAGCATTCCCATCGCCCTCTAAAAGCGGCACCGAGAAGCATCCTGCAGCACCGCTCCGAACCGTTTGCCAGGCCTTGCTCCTCCTCCGCCTCCTCTTCCCTTCCACCTCCTCTCCATCCTCCACTCCCTCCCTCTCACCACCCCCACCGCCAGCACCGCCATCATCAGCATCAGCAGCAGCAGCGGCAACAACGTCATCCTCGTCATGCTCTGCAAACCCCATTCGGCAGAATCGCCTGGCACTGAGCATTCCCAGCAGGTCCATCACTCTCTCTCGCTTCGACATGTGCGTCAACACAGGCGAGTGCGACCCGTTATTCCACAACCCGCTACCCTGGCTGCTGCCGCTGCTGCTGGTGTTACTGTAGCTCCGCCCCTGGAATCTCAACTGCTTTGGATTGGAATGATTATGATTGCTGTTCTTATCGTTTTCATGTACCCCAAAGGGTGACAGCTCTACCCTACCGGCCGCTTGCTTCCCTCCACCGTTCACAGGCTCCGTTATAGTCTGCTCCGTTATTTCGTGTAAGCCTTGGCTGCTACCGCTACCGGGCCCACTCCCTGTTCCACTGCCAGTTCCGATTTCAGGAATACTCCCTCCCACGCTACCGCTCCCAACCGCACTGCCTGCGCTTCTGGAGAAGCTATTGAAGCCGCTCAAGCTGCCGCTGCTTGGATCCAAACCTGAACGGTCCGAGCCTGGAACGTCTGGTGCCGAACTTGGACCTAAAGCTTCCGAAGCAGTGTTCCGTGAGTGTGACTCGGTTAAAGGGATCCCCATTATGACTAAAAGGCTCTCAAAGCAGCGTCCCCTGCCTGTGACTGCGGTATACAAGGTTTTTCCATAATCGCACTATAACAGCAACGTTTTCGTTTCTCGCATATAAATAAACACCATTTTACGAGGACGATGGGTCGCAGGTATTAGGTCTGCACTTTCGGTCAGTAAGTCCGTGCGTGCAACGCGCGCCGTTAGTTTAAGGTGTGCTTAACTGCTGCCGGTGGTTACGATGCGAAACCGGCAACTGAACTAAGCTGCGACAGGCTGCGACTAAGCTCAGGCACGATGATCCGGTGTGGATGAGTTAAGATGGGTTAAGGTGCGAAAGAGGGGAGCGTAAATCACGCAGTGCGTTAGACACGCTAACTAAGAATGGGGATTGCGATAGTCTGCGACTGGATTGAAAGAGTTGAGAACGGGAATGCGACACTAAATATCGAGACGGAGCGGAGCTGAGAAGAGGAGTTGATTCATGCAATTCTATTCACTATACTAACGCGCGTTTTGCGACTAGGAACCAACCGTCAATAGCTTTGCACGGACAATTACGCTTTTCATACTTGGGGTCCAGAAGCTTGCTATTCGAACGTCGCTACGAACCCTGAATTCACATTTAGATGAACGTTGAGGCTCACTCACACTCCAAGAAACTCTTGCGCTTCGTTGCATTCACTATCAGCCAACAAGGCTAATCAACGGAGTAAGAATAAGAATCACCTTGATGGCCGGCACATTAGGGTTCCGCTTGGTGACACCAACCGTGTATGTATGTGTGTGTGGTCGTGCAAATGTGATGCCATGTAGCGCAGTAGTTTTTTTGTTGCTGGTTGGTTTGGTAGTTCGACAGCAAGGTGGCAAATGCAGAGCAGACCAGGAAGCGGAAGAGGTGAGAGAATTGCTCCAAACCCTTGTTTGGTGATTCGGCATTGCACACGTGGCCTCGAATTGCTCGCGTGGTCCTGAAATTGCACGATAATTGCTCGAGTGGTCTTGCCAGAGGATTCGCGCAGCTTTTTTTAACCCGGTACATTACCCTACAAGGGTATTTATTCCCAAAATGTTTGCGTCGCACGAGTCTTATTCCGCATATGAGAAATAATAAAACCCCTAGGGACCTGGACGCATTTTCGGGAGGGATCAACCCTAAACACGGGAAAGAGCAATGTTTTTAGGGTTGATGCCTCCCCGAGTCGCATTCCTTTCCGATTGGGTTTTATTTATGGGGGTCATGTGTAGGGATATATATGTAAATGCGCGGTCATATAGAGCCATCGCGCGACCAATCACGCGCGGACATATGGGTGCGCGATCATATATTGTTTCGCTCGGGCACACCCTACATGACCGAGAGTTTTTTTGAGGCATAATGATATGACCGCGCATTTACGTCGCTTACAATTTAACATTGGCCAGTTACGACTGTGAATGTATTTGCATTTGTAATAGTGCAGACTCGTTCTTAAAAAAAAACATTGGGGGATAAATACCCTAATCGGGTATTGTGCATGGGAAAAAAAAGTCAGTGGGAATCTCCTGGCAAAACCACTCGAGCAATTATCGTGCAATTTCAGGACCACGCGAGCAATTCGAGGCCACGTGTGCAATGCCGAATCACCAAACAAGGGTTTGGAGCAAATCTCTCGGAAGAGGTGTGGATTGAAGGAAAAGTGTGTGTGCTGTGCGTGCGTGTGAGGAGAACGCCTGCCAAGGTTCCGTTCGGTTCGTCGCTGTCTGGTTGGTTTGTTTTCCCTCACCTCCCCACCGAACCAATCACCGCAGCCGAAGCCTATCGCTCGGATTGAAGGAGATACGATGGAGGGCTTGGATCGAAAGGCTTGGGTGCTGGAGCTGGTATGTTGCGTCGAAGATTTGCTGAAGCTCTTTGGCTCGGTGTACGAAGCGTGGCTGTCAGCGCTATCCTTACAAAGTGATTCGCTTTTGTGTTGAGACCTCAAGTGCTTTTCATGTGGACAGCGAGCACATTCTATCAAACACCTACTACCACTGCTTTTCCTACATAGCTGCAAGTCACACGGCTCCTTCCTAAGATCCTGGAAGTCTCTTTGTCCTAACCTTTCTAACCGGGACACTTGCAACTTCGCCTATCAAGGAAGGCGCTTCTCCATGGAACCCCCTTACAGGTGCATCACACAGGTCTTCTTCCAATGCCAATACTCCACCATTCCTCGGCACAGCTTCAGAAGGCCCATGTTGGCCCATCCATGCAACAGATTTAGCAGCACCTCCAGAACCAACCCTAGTTGTGAATTTACCACCATCTCCTGTTTCACCGCCTGTATTATCCCCACCAACCGGTCCCTCTCTTCCTCCCTTCTCCGCATCATCCCCAAGCATCCAAGCACTAGATCCCCCTGAGTTCACAGAAGACGAATGCAACGGGGAAAAAACGCCACGAGAAGGATGAGGCTGTGGAATGTGAAATTCGGAGGGGATTGCTGAGTCTGTAACGTTGTCTACTCCGCATTTGGTTACATGATTATTTCTCTGGCACACTACCGCGGGTGTCAAAACTCCCACAGCTTCCCCACTCGCCTCGGGCAACCCAGCTTCTTCTGCTGCTGCTGCTGCTGCTGCTGCTTCTGGAATTGCTGGTGCTGTCCCTGTTGCTGCTGCTGGTGATGACAATGGCGACGGTGACGGTGACTGGGATGGAACTGCTGCTACAGCTGCTACAGCTGTTCCTGATGCCACCCCTCCATTCACTGGCGAAAGCTGCGACTTTGACTTGCTCCGTTGCCTCCTCGCAGGAACAGGGAGATCTAAATCTTGCAAGGGACCCGCACTGGGGCTTGCAGGATCATAGATGGTGGCGCCGCCACTGTACGGGCTCTTGCAGTTCTTGTCCTTGTGTTTCTCGACACGGCAAGGGCTGTTCTTTTCGGCAATGGGAGAGGAGATAACTGCCGTTCCCGTGGGAAACTTGAAGCTCAAAGTCGTCGAAACGCCTGCTGTTTTCGGAGGAGGTGCAACTGTGGCTTGGCGAGGAGAGCCAACGATAGGTTCAGTGGCGGAAACAGCGTTCAGGCTCGGAAAGTACGCAGCTGTGGCTCGGACAACTTTACTTGCAACGTTCTCTCTAGAGATTGTAGTGGGAGCTGGTGCTGCTGTGCGTGTGGCGGGCATTGCTGTGCCTGAGGCGAGTGCTGCTGCAGAAGTTGCATGCAATCTGGCTCTTGAACTCAGCTGGGCTTGTGTAATTGGCTGTGTCCTCGCAGCTGATGACGTGGCAGAAACGCCAGCTGGTTTCAGTGACCTGGCTGGACTGCCGGCTGACTCAGCACTGAACAGAGCAGATTTGGTTTCAGTGACATGCGGTGCCTGTTGACTGTTGACTTGCGTTGACTGCATTGACCGTGGTGGTCTTCCTGGGGATGCTGCTGTGTATGGAGACACAGTTGCAGAATGATTCACACGCTTCTGCTGCTGCTGTGTCTGTGCCTCATGCTGCTGCTGCTGGAGCTGTGCTAGAGTCAAATCATCAGAATCCTGTGCTTTTCCACCTATCCTGAACCCGGCAACCTCATTCCACGTTTCACCGCTCCCTTGTACCACTCTCTTCCCCATGCCGCTTCGCATTTCTCCCTCGCCTGCTCCTGCTGACACTACATTTATCGCTTCTGCCCTTGCCCCTGCCTCAGCCCCGCCCCCAACCCCTGCCCCAACCCACACCCCTGCCACTGCTCCAGTACCAGAGCTCACATCTGCTCTGGCAGCCCTACTCCTGGTCACTCTTGCCTCCCCCTTCGCCTCTTCTGCCTCTCTTCCCTCCCTTCCCTCCTCCACCCCTCCTGCTGCCCCTCTAACCCTCCCCCTCACCGCAATCGACGCCTCCTCCATGCCCCGTCCTCGCTTCCGCCCTATCACATCTTCTTCACTAACTCGCCTTTTCCTCCCCTTTTCTTTCCTCTCCCTTTTCTCCTCCCCCTCGTCTTTCTCCCTTTTGCGAGCATGCTTCGGCTTCTCTTCCTGCCTCTGCTCCTGCCCCTGCTTCTCCCTACTACCAGCCTGTAAAGGCACCCCTTCACCGCCTTCCAACTCCCAAGGATCCCCCATTTTCTCGTCATGAATCACCATCTCCCTCTGCTCCCGCTGTGCCTTCTGCTTCCTATGCTCCCTCTGCTTCCTATGCTGCCTCTGCTCCCTCTGCTGCCTCTGTTCCCCTTCAAATGAACTATCACCCCCACCTTCGTCCAACTCAATTCCCCCATCAAGGTTTCCACCAGCTCTCCCCTCCCTACCAGCCTCAGCCGCCCCTGTGCCGACGTCAGCGCCTCTACAAAACTTCACATCCTCGTTACAGTCTGCTTCAGGTAACCCATACCGCACCTCCTGAAGCTGCTGCTGAAGTCTCTGCTGCTGCCTCCTCCTTGCTGCTGCTGCAGGCGAATCCCCAAGAAGAGACGGGGGGTTTGGGAGAGTGGACGGGAGAGCGGCAGCAGGAGCAACACCAGCACGAACGTCCCCTCCCTCTTTTCCCTCCCCTTCCCCACACCCAACTTCCGCCTCACTTCCACTTAACTCCTCGACCCCCTTCTCAACCGTCCCCACAACTCTCCCCTCAAATTCCCCCTGCGCCTCCTCCCCGCGGCCCTTCCTCCTCCCTTCCCGCTTCCGCCTCGCCCCTATCGCCTGAAGACCAGACACGTCCACCCCAGTCAGCGCCCCAGGCTCCGTTCTCTCCGTTTTCTCTGCTTGCTCTGGCTGCTCCTGTAACTCACATTCCGCCTGCCGCTGCTGCTGCTGCCACTCCTGCTCCTGCTGCGGCGGCTGCTGCTGAATCCGAATCCCAGGAGCAACAGCGCCTTGTCTTTCCTGCCGAGAACCTCTCAGTCTCAGAGTGACCACCATCGGCCCCCCTTCCTCCGACTTCCTTCTCCTCCTCTCCGCTCCCACGCTTCCTGCTGCATTTGCCGTCTCTTCTGCTTTCACTGCTTCTTCTGCTTTCACTGCTTCTGCTGCACCCTCTTCTCTCTTCCCGAGCCCACGCGCCTCCTCTTGTCGCTCTCCTCCACCCTCTCCCTCTCTCGGCCGTGCTGCCGCTTCTCTTTCTAGAGGCGCCGTCACCCTTGGAGGCATGGCTCGGGGAGGTGTTAGCCGGGGAGGTGTAACCCGGGGAGGTGTTACCCAGGGGGGAGTTACTCGGGGAGGTGTTTCTCTAGGGGGTGTTACTTTCGAAGGACTTTCTGTGGGAGGTGTTTTTTTAGCGAATCTTCCACTGGCCGTTCTTGGTCCAATAACAGTCCTCTTTGGCTTCCGGCCAACCCGTCTCCCTGCTCTCTCGCCTTGCTCCGATTCCCCCCTCTGCTGTGCCGGCGGCTGCTGCTGCTGCTGCTGCTGCTGACCCTGTTCCTGCTCCTGCTGCTGCTGTTGCTGCTGCTGCTGTAGATTTGATACGGAAGGACGTCTCGGTACCGTCTGCTGAGAGCGCCTCGGCACGATCTGCTGGGGCTGAGGGCTGGGAGTCCGAGCGAGGTTGAGAGCGGTTCTCTGGGATGCCAAACGACCCTGCGCAAGGAAAACGGGGAGAGGAGCAGTAGGGACGAAAAGGGGAGAGGCGAAAACCAAGTAAGCCATGGTAATCGATGACATTCTTCACTCGTTGACTTCTTTTCGCTCTTGGGTATTCGTCAATCTTTAACATTTTCATGCAAATTGGAAGAATGAAGAAAACGTTAACACTTCACGCTGCTTGATAACTAAATCTATGAAAAGAGAGCTCCTTTTTCTGGAAAGAGAGTGTACCTTCCCGAGGCATTTCTGCAGATGGAAGGCGAATCTTCCGGCTGTTACAGTGTAACCACAGTGGTAACACGCAATGATCTCGTTGGGAACGGCCGGGTGTGTCTGGCCAAACACGTCCACTGTCGCCTTAGACGCTCGCTGCATCGCACGCGTCGCACAGGCCGCACGTCGTCTCCGTCAAACAGGATCGCTATCTGCTTCGCTAACAACTTCTCCTTTAACAGATTCTCCGCTTCTGGCTTTCTCGCTGACCTGTCCGCGAGCTCGCCTTCCAGCAGGCGAGAGCTGAACCCTAAAGCGGCCAGTAGCTTAACGTTTGTTGCAATCTCGCCGTGGTTACGCATCGTAAGCAGACAGGAACTGTTATAGATTCTTACTAATTGTGTCAAGCAAAGAAAAGCTGACGATTGAGAGATGGTCACTGGAAAATCGACATGCTAATGGCGTGACGACGTATAATCGGCGGATTCACACTTGAAAGCCAAAGCAGGGACCGGCGGCGATAGAAAAAGGCGAGGACGCGACGTGGAATCTAAACAGAAATAAGAAAGCATTGTCAATGAAAAGGCAAGTCCATACTTCACACTGATATAAGTTTTGGAGGGAAAACACAGATCAGACCCAAAAACAGTCGCACAACGACACCCATGCGACCAAAACAGATGGATTACGAGAATCCGTAGGCGAAGACATGCTGCCACCTCACGCGTCGTGAAGTCGTCAAGTCGGGACAAGCCACTGACGATTGTCGTTGTCCTTCGCAACATTCCGTCCCAATCGCAAAACGTCCGAGGCGGAACCTGATTTGGCTACGAGGCCAAAGCGAAACACGATTACACTACAGATGTTACTGAAGTGGGGTACTTTCAAGCCATCAAAAGCAAAAGAGTTAACATGGTTTATGATGTACAACATCCATATCTATTCGCTTGCCAAAAAGAACTATACTAATGTCTTTCTTCTGCTCTGCGTCATCCTTACCTCTTTCCAATGACTTACCAAAAGAACCGCCCATTGCTGCATTCTCTACTTCATGGAGCTCATCGCTTCTATCAATCTTTCCTACTATAGCTTCTTGCAAGCATTTGGAAGCAAGTTCTGCTTCCTTACTTGAGATCGCCTCTGCTTTTGATGGAGAGTAATTTTTCTTCCTGACAGCCCGATTAGAAAGCGCCCCCGAAGTCGGCCCCTCCTTATTGTGAATCACTTCTGCAGACATGGCGCCACTCCTGCGTTTACCCTTCTTAGTTCCCTGCACCTGATCAATGTGGTTTACCACCATCGTCTGAGCCCATGCACTCCTTGGAACGATCACCCGACTTCCGACCAAAACGAATGGCGAGCTGCTGGAAGATATAACCATGGGCGAGGAGTGTGAAGGACGCTCAGTTGATGAGTCCTCGGCAGATGATTCAGTTATGGCAGGCCTGTCAACTGTAGAGCTGGATTTGCGAAATTTCGGTGACGTGTTGGGATGCGAACGGATTGGTGTTGCTGCTGCCTTTGCTGCTGCAGTTACCGTTGCTGTCTCCATTGCCTTTGGTGTTTCTTCCAATGCTGCTGCCGTCGTTGCTGTTGCTCCTGTTGCTACTGCTGCTGTTGCTGCTGCTGCTGCTGCTGTTGCTCCTGCCGCTGCTCCTGCCGCTGCTGCTGCTGCTGCTGTTGCTCCTGCTGATGGGAGAGCGACAGCAGAGGGAATGAACTGTGCTTGCCATATGGAAGGCCGATGGAGGGATGCGGATGCTCCTGCCTGCGAATCTTTTTTGGGAGATGAGAAGGATTGGATGCGAGGGATGAAAGCGCTGGCCGTGAAACCTGTTGGCAAAGGCGCTCCCAGTGGACTGTTTAGCAGCTGGTGGGTGGAAACGCCTTTCATCATGTCATGGGCTGATGGGTCTATGGCATACCCTGCATCTCTACCTTGGACGAGCCCTGCCGCCCCATTGTGGACATGCGGCTCTGCCAGCGTGTGGAAGTCATTCCGTGGCGCGTCGATTCGCCCACCCCACTGTGTTGGCCCGCGGCTGACATGTCCTGGCACGCAAGACGGCATGTCCATCATATGATGATTTCCTCTGTGCAGAACCATCATCACCTTCCAACATTATGTGACTGTAACGCGGTATCTCTGTTGTGCTGCCTGCTGTCCATTCCGCCTCCAGCTTCTCCAGCTGTGACAGTAGCGAATCCCTAGCAAAGTTCCTCCGTACTATCGCCACGTCAGCAGGTGCCAGAGTGGCCCTGACAAGATCAACACTAGCAATGTCAGCTCTCATCATCGTTACACCTTTCATACCGTCGCCACGTGCGGCAAAGGCAGAGGAAGCAGCAGTAGAATCATGAAACTTCCCGGAATGTGTCGCAGGAAAGCTCGGAGTCACCACCTTAAAGCTCTGCAGCCTGCTGACGTCGTTGTTGGTAATATCTGCCGTTGTAGTGGCTGTAGTGGCTGTAGCAGCAGCCCCAGAAGCACCAGGCTGCAGCGTGAGGTCCAGAGTCTCTGTCGTCCAGAGCCACACCATGATGGAGTGGAGGCTTCAAAAGATCTGTCGTCCGTGGATGATGCCTTATCATTGAACGAGGGAGTCCCTGCTCAGAATCAAGGAGTCCTGGAAGGGCTTCCTGCTTGTGGCCCCAGTTTGAGGATGAGGCACTGGGCGATTCGTTGGCGCTCATTGCTAATTAGCAATAATTAACAGAATTCGACGCTGCAGAGTCGTCTGGCAAAACTTCTGATGGCGCGTGCTCGTTGAAACTTTCACCCTTGAAGGGTGACGACACAATAAGTTCGAGTTTTGAAGTCCAAGCGCGCCGCGCGGCGCGACAGGTTGAAAACTGGAGGTCTTCACACGGCGGCCCGTTGCACAGCAAAGTTAATACAACCCAACAAATCGACGCTGCTCGGGAAGTTTAGGTACTCATATTATGTTTGAAGAGCCTGTCTTTCTCTACTAACAAAAAGATGGGTTTGAAAGAAGTACAGACTACTAATAATAGTTAGAGAGAAGTTGGAGCTGATGATGGCCTTTCGAAGCTGAGGGGGCATAGGGGGGGACATCAATTTGTGGTGAGTGTGATCTCAGCATGCTGAGGAGGCATCAAGTAGCGGTGGTGAAGGATGATACGCTTCTCACTTCCCGTTCTGCCAACTCTGCCTGTGCCCCCTCTTCCATCTTCCCCCCGTCCCGTCTGCCCAATCCAGCACTGAACAGGTTGACTCTTTTGGGAAGAATTTGAACAGATACTGTATTGTTCTCCCGGAACAGAGAAAGAAATATTTTCGCTATACTAGAGCCATAAAAAAACTAACTTGAGCTACGTTGTTCGATTAGGAGAGCGCAGGGTGGGGATTTCTGTGTGGGAAAATATGGTAGAGAAAATCGGGTCTTTGCTGGGAAAAATTCGTACCGGATTCGACGACAGGACTACACGTGCGAGATTCGTGTACTCAGCAAACGAGCCAAAGCAGCCGAGGGTAGAATGCTGCTGGCGAGCATGTTGATGAACAGTGGTCTATGCTCGTCGTTTTCCTCCTCGCGTGCAGAGATTTCTCACTGTAGATGATCTGAGAGGGGTGGCTAGTGGGTAGGTGGGTGTCTCGTCACGCTGATTATATGCGACAGCTGGCAGCAAGTCCTCAGCATGCAAGATGGCGGGGCGAATGCCACATGAAGAACTTCAAAGGAATTGTACAGTTAACACGCACGCCTGCCTCCTCCCGCGAATCCTGTTCGAGATTTCTTTTGACAGTGACCCGACCAAACCAGACCCTCTTGCTTTCTTTCCTTCCACACTGTACCGATGGACCGTGTTTGTGGAATTGCACGCATTTGGCCTATGGCCAAGGTGATAACATTTGGAATCTGCCCTGCTGTACCCTCTTGGGCCTCGCCAAACCAAAGGGACGGCGGCGAATCCGTCCTTCCAAAATGGTTGGATTCGGATGATGACATCTCAGAACTCGCAGAAACAAAGGATGTACACACAGATGTTTGCATTGTCAGCGGTACGATTCTCCGGGGCGTCACAAGAAAAAAAAAATGCTGTCAAATGAAATATATACAATGAAAGGTAGCAACTCACAATGTACACTCGAATGTGCCACAAGTACAATGGTTTCCTGGGGACCTCGGAATGCAAAATCGCACCCCTTGGAAAGCAGCAATTTCCTTGTACGTACACGTACGGCTCACAAAGAAGCCTGTACAGTACGACTGACATAAGCTTTCCAACGTTCTTTCCTTCCGCTCCGCACACAAGCATTCACGGTTTCTTTCCTTATCTGTGGTTGGTCGAGGAGTTTCCTTTTTTCACATGTACAAAACGGCTGCACT